TCATTTGTAATTTATTCTTTTTCCCTCTATCACGAATTATTGCAATTAAGTTCGGCGTCAAAAAAAAAAAAAAAAAAAAAATCTTGCAATCATAGCATGCAACGGCCATCAGGACCAACTCTTTTTTCTTTGTTAAAGTTGTATCCCCCTCTCCTGAAGAAATTATTTAAACTACCTACATAATTATATCTCTATTGTAATTGGTAAAACCGATGAATTTCACAATCAATTTAAAAAAAAAAAAAAACAGAAAAAAACAACAAACATTTTGGATGGAGAAATGTAGATCAAACAAATTGATCGATCAAATCAATCGATAATTGATCCGAGTTAAATGTAAACAAACAAACAAAAAACGAGAACAAGACTAAAAAAAAACGTTCCATTTCGATACTGCTTGCATACAAATACAGGAAAACAATTGGGTTTTTTACTTCGGATGATCAATCACATGCTACTTCTATATGGTTTTAATTTCAATTTTCTTCTTGAACCAAACAATGATAATAATCATCAGTTTGAAAAGATAATCAGGGTTGATGACCATGTGACATGATGATCCAAACAACAAAAATATGTGAGTTGAATTGATTTTAAACGTTTCATAGATGATCTAAATTTTAGTCGCCCACACACACACATACACATGAATGAATGAACCAAACCCGAATAGCATCGCCAATGATAGTGATTATATCTGTAAGTCGATCTGTCATCATTTAAAACAATGAAGAAATGAAAATATCTCGTTTTCGGAAAGCCAACATACAAACCATAGCTTTGAGTTTCCGGCTTTGAGAGATTAAAAAAACTAAAACATTTTTGGATCAATCAAATAATCAACAGGCTTATTCATTTGACACATTTTATTAATATGCAATAGAAATTGATTTTATATTGGCCTTGAAGTAATTCATTGAATTCAAATAGACCAATAATTTTTTAATCAATAAACGATCCATCAATGATTGAAAATAATCAAGTTGTCAAACAAGTTGACAGATATCAGTGTATCATCGCTTCGATAACTAGACATATAAATTGTACAGCAAAAAAAAAACCTTCAAATACATATTTAACTATGTCCAAAGGGGGATAACAATGTCAACAGGAAATGATCACACCATTGATCAATTTCTATTAATAAAAATTTCAACCATAAAAAAATAATGAAAAAAATAGAAAAGAAAAAACAATGTAAAGAGTCGACGTAGTTTTCCGGTCTAATTTTTGTTCTTTATTTAAATGCCGAAAACAACAACAACAAAAAAATTTCGATAAATGAAAATGTTTATCGGGCGTTTATATGAATAAAAGATCGATTAAATGTAGAGAAACTCGGTCAAATAGACAAGAAAATTAATAGGAAATGCTTTGGGAAAAAAAATGTACAACAATCGAATCAAAATCAAATGATTGTAAATAAATGTAAATGAACATCACCCAATCGACAAAAGTGTAAACCGATGAAATCAATAGAAACAATAAAACATTGAACATAATTCGAATGAGATAATGAAAGAAGGACAGAACAAAAACAATGTCACACGTTATTTATCAAACTTCATTATGATAATATTAATGATAATGATGTGATTATTTTGTCTAACCTGTTAATTTATTGTTGAAAATATAAGCAATTATATGACAATGAAAAATCATCATTTAGATTAGATTGTTGGATCTTTGACGAAAAAAAAATTCTCACAGTAATTATCAATTCTTCAGCTGTAAAAATTATTATTACAATGGAACGTGTTATTCACAAGCAAACATAACGTATGTTAGCCATTGTTTTCACTTTTTTTCATTAGCTTAGCATGAAATAACATCTCATATATAATAATAAAACTATCATCATTTTAATTATAACAAACGATAGTAAAATTTTCCTTTTTCAAAAGTAATTTGTTTCAACACCATCATCACGAATTTAAATGTAGTATGAAAATGGAAAAAAAATTGAATTTTTCTCTCTTTTTCTGGTTGACCAATCAACTTATAGGAAACAAACCAAGCCTCTCAAATTTTTTACTTTTAACAAATTACTAAACAAACTGCGTAATTAATAATAAAAAATAGATACATTTTAACAAGAATATTTTCATCGAAAATGAATCATGAAAATTCTTCGACGAAATTATAGATAAATTATTGAGAAGATAACATGAATATTTGTATTAGATAGAAATTATCTTCCTACAAATATAAAAAAGAAAATTTTTCAAAAAAAAAATCCAAAAATAACCTGTATCAACAAAAAAAAATTCATTACAATTTGCTACACTATGATTCCTTTTTAATATATTTTTTACGTGTTCTGATTAATATCTAAAAAAATCTTTCAAGCAAATGAATTTTGATCATTATCATGCATGCATGAAGACAGGAGAAAAAAACAATTTGGCACAAAGTGTCTCGTGAAAAACTTGTCAAAAGAAAAGTAACATGTTTTTTTTCATATAATGACAATTACATATCTTATATGGGCAGTGATATAATTTTTTTTAAAGAAATATCTTATTTTTAATGATCAAAATTATTGTTAGTAATAATCATATCATTCAACGATAACGAATTGAAAGCAAGTTTGATGACATGTTTTTTTTAAAAAAATGGAATCCACATGGATTTCAAAATGTTGAATACACATGACCAATAATCAGCTATTGTTGTTGTTTATAACGAAAATGAAATTATCATTTGATAACCTTTATTAAGCAAATAAATCATTTTTAAAATAAAAATAAAACTACTGGATTTATTCTTCCTGTTTCAGATAAGATGGTTGCCAAGTGTGTATATTGATGTAATACAGTGGTAAACACATGACTAACTCTCTGTCATCTTTAGGTTCAGGCTTCTGGATTCAATCAATCAATCAATGTTTTACAAAAAACAAAACAAAAAATTTGAATCAGAAATCATATGGATTTAACTTGTAAACAAAGTTATAAATCATCAAATCTCATAAATCGTTCAATGAAATGTTTTTTTTAATAGGTCAAAGGTCAATGGTTATATAAATGACTATCATTGAACAAATAATTTATACGACAAAAAAAGGACGCCATATGTAAACGCGAATAGGATTTTTATTCCAAAAAAAATTGCATAATGTTTTTCTTGTGTCGGAAATTTAAGGGAGTTTGAGTTTATTTGAAGTGAATGTGCACATATGTTTTAACCAACATAATTTTAAAAAAATAAGTAATAATTTCGAAAACAATCAATAGGAAATGATTATCAAATCAAAATTACAAAAAACATTTATGATTAAATGATTATAAAATTGCTATAATTATCAATGTATGTAATAGGATTTTATAGCAATACAATCAATTGTTGACAAAACACATACATTTACAAAAGATTTAGAATCGAGCCAAAAAAACAAATCAAATACATTGACATTGTAATAATATTGCTTAACATTAATCCAAATACATCATTGAAAAAGAATTCATTACCAATTTTTGTAAAGAAAAAATTATTAAAAAACAGCAAGAGTTGATAATATTACTTTCGAATAAGATTTAATTCAAAACAATGGTAATTGGGATTGAGCGTATTTAAATTTGAATTGAATGAAAAAAAAAACAAAGCAAAAGATAATGATCGATATGATTTCATTTTATATAATTATTATCATTACATACATTTAGAGTTCATAATAAGATTATCAAATTAATGATAAGCAACAAAATATGACCTTTTTCCGTTGAAAAGCAACAAGAAAAATGTCAACTTCTTTATGAAAGAACGAGATTTGCAATGTAAATTTTATGTAAGATAGAAATTATCTATTTTTTCTTCTAATTGATAAATGACACTAGCATTTCATTAGAAATCTAAAATCAATTTGCAAAAAAAAAACAAAATTTATTAACGTAAGCTTTATGTATGCTCCAAATTTTCATAGATTTATTTTCTCAAAACCGAAATTCGAGTATTGAAAAATTGAAAAATTCAAAAAATTTTGGACATTCAAAATAAAAACATGATGAAAATCGGATGAATTTCTATGAACATCAGAAAAAGTACCGAACCGAAAAATACACGAGTTATGAATCATGGTTTCCAAAATTATTGCAATTCAATTGAAATAATGATTTTATTTTGGTCCGATATTATCCGGTCACAGATCACTGTTTGAGAAGCTCTGTATCAGATCATTTGACATCATAACATAGATAAATTATATTTCCCTTTAGGATATTAACGGGTTTGATAAAAAAAGACTAAACTAAAACAAACTTACCCATAAATCTTCTCCCCAGCTCATGGCTGCGATGATATTTGGCTGTGTGTTTTGTTGGTTGATTTTCTATGTCGGTGTATGTGTTATTTGTTTTTTTTTCTATAAACTTTATGTTGAATTAATGATGTTCAATATGATGATAATTTTCCGGATGTCGATGACAACCGTTGTTGATGATTATTATTTTTATTATGAAGGAAATGAATGAATTTTTTTTTTGGTCAAAAATTAAAACATGTACCAAATTTTTTTTATCAAACAAAACTTGATAATTATATATTATATAAATAAAAATGTGAATCAAACAATTATTATTGAAGTTGAAAACTTTATGGAGAAAAAAAATTCACATTTATTAACCGGTGAATTGAAAGTGGATTTGGTTTTAAGATAGAGACATTTGCGCAATAGAGATTTTCGGATTTATTTATCTATTGGTTTGGTTTGATTTGATTTGGTTTTTTGAAGATTTGGCTTATGATGAAAATTATATATTTTTTCTTAATTGAATTCAAAACATCCGACGACCTATCTTGTTAAGATGATGTCAACTTTTTATTTTTCGATGCAATATAAAGTGTGCAATGCTACACTTGTATGAATGTTTTAAAAATGAAACTTGACAAAAATTGTAATGAATTAGAAAAAGATTTTGATGACGAATTTTCTAAATTTAGGATCTAGAACTCTTCTAGGCGGTAATAAATGTTGACAAAACAAATAACAGTGTCAACCATCATTATTCATTCATTTGTTGAAACATCATAATTGTGTGTTGTTTGTTTTCGAATCATTATATAAGTGTTGAACAAGAGCAGAACTATGAATTATAAAGAGAATTCAGCTACAAAAAGAAGAAAAAAAATTGGTTCATTGTTATTTAATAATTGTCACCAAACAATCAAAAAGAATAAATAACTTACTCTTGAAACTACAACAGCGAAAGAAAATTAATTCCAAATCGATACATTGATATTAGATAGAATGGTTTACAATCAGACTAAAAAAAACGAAACAAAACAACAATAAAAGATTACAATCACCGGTAGATATATAAAAATAAAACATTACCCAATATAGAAAGGAAAAAAATGAATTAATGTTATTAGAAAAAAAGTTATTTTCTTCGTTCTTTTATTCGTTGATTGCTATTTGATTGTATATTTCAAATAGGATAGATAGATTAAATGTTTAAATTGAGATAGATATATAGATAGATTGATTGATTGATTGATTGATCGTTCGATAATATGATGAATAAGTTACTGAGTGAATGAATGATTTAATCAAAAGATCAAGAAAAAAAAGGATTCGGAAATATTTAACAAATAAAAAAATAAAATAATGACAAACAATAACAAAGAAAATAAGAAAATCATCGAAAGTAAATGTTTATGTTTGGTCAATTTTTGGAACCATTATGTTCAGCATTTTTATTTTCTATCCTTCAGATTATTGATGCATATTATTCCAGACGAAAACAAAACAAAACAAAAAAAATCATTGAAAAGGTCATAGTTATTGATGCCAATGATAATTTACGGTGTGAATGATCTCACAACACAAACAAACAAACATTTATGCACTTAAACAAACTACCATTGATAACATACCATTTTGATTTGAATGAAATGTTATACGTGTTACATTATTACAATGGATCATCATCCAAAATAATCACTGGTAAGATTTTGTTGTATGAAAAATTTTTTCAGTCATATAGCTGTTTGAAACAACAAACAAACATATCAAAAACACATGAAAACACGAGCCATCATTATTATCATCATTATCATAAGGATGATGATGATGATGAGTATTCAGTGAAATAAAATGGAAAAATGTAATTCAAAATCTGATAATAATAATAATAATAATAAAATTTGATCGTACACTATGATGTATACATCATTAGATAGATAGATAATGACAACAAATAACAAATAATGATGGTGATGATTGGATCAACAATTGATGATGATGATGATGATGATGGAAATAAAATTATGAAACTGTTGATGCTGACAAAATATATCTGAAATGAGTGATGATGAGAATATCAATCTATTAGATCATAGTCGATGGATCATATGGAATTTTTTTTCCGACAAAATTGATAACAGAAAACTATCAAAAAAGGTAATACAATTGATTGATTGATTGATTTGATGTCAATGTTTATGTCAACCTCTTGGTGGTCTGTTGTCAGTGTAATCTATAACAGATTTATTCAACCATATAGACAATCATTTTCAAAATGACAATATCTTTAGAGGACATCTAAAAAAATAAACACAACACACACCCAAGAATAAGGTAAAGAAAGAAAAAAACAATAACAAAATTATTAAAAAACGAAAGCATTGGATTGGAGAGAATATATAAGGAGAACAAACAAAATTAAACAAATAATTTTATCAAAAAAAAAAAAAAAAAAATTGATGAAAAATTTTTTTCTAAAAATCAATTACAGTAAAGGGTTGATTAGTCAATTGAAA